AAAAAAAAATCCAAGAAGCAGGATTTCATGAAGGAGAATGCAGCATCAAAACTAGAGAAAGAGAGTAGTTGGGGTAAGATGGCAGAAGAGGCAGACAGACTGTACAGACTCTCCTCAATAAAGAAAAGGGGAACCAATTAACACAGATACAAAAGATAATCCTGGAGCCCTGAGCTTTGAAGGGAAAGATACAGAAATGAACTAAACTCCAACTAGTAACAGAACCTGCATGAAACACCAAAAAAGGAGATATACAGAGCTGTGGTCTATCAGCGATCCTGACAGCACGGACAGCTTGGATATTGCCAAGTAGTGTAAGGACCTAAGAAGTAACCTAAAAATCAGCCTACTAGCCAAGGACTGCACAGAGGACTGCACTGGTGGCCAGTGAAAAAAAGGTAAGCAGCAAAGAAGAAGGCAGACTGAGCTTTGGACTTTTGTCTGTCCGAAGGACAGCAGCCATTTTGAATGTTTACAAATGGTTTGACAATTTTGGATATTTAAAGCAACAGCATTCTCCCAGACTCCAGGGACTTAAGAATAGGCTGCGTTTGCTGGGAACCACAAGGACATTCAGGACACAAACAACTGGAAAAGTACAATACTCCCTTTGTTACTCTTATACCCCACACCCTCTTGGTAAACAGAGGTGTGGCTATCCCTCACTCCCACCCACCATCTGAACCATCAGGAATTCCATCCCAGTCTATGTGTTCTGATGGAGTCTGGGTGCCCTGCCCCACCATGCCCACATTTTTTTTTCCTTTTTTTATGTTTGTTTTTGTCTGTTTTAAAATTATTATTATTATTGTCCTTTTTATTATTATTCTTTATTATTCCTTTCCCAGGTTCTAGTTTTCAGCTTTTTCTCTCTTCCCTGTTCCTGATTCCCATTTTTTTCTTTACCATGGTTAACCCCATCCTTTGTTTTTCTTTTTGCATTTTTTCCTTTATTATTATTATTATCCTTTTCCACCTCTTTTCTTTTATTGCCCTCTCCCCAGATATTGTTGGGGGTTTGTTTGTTTGTTTGTTTATTTTTGGGTGATTGTTCCTATGTGTTTACAAAGTATATTTTTTTGTCCACTTGCTTTCACTTTTTTGATATTTTTTTGATTGTTGTTTTTGTCTGAGTGGGAGATAGCAACAGTGTTCATATAACACAACTACATATGCACCTCCTGCAGCTTCACTTACTGAGTGAGAGCCACCACTGCTGTCTCCACCAACTGTCCAACAATAAACCACCACCAAGAAAAGCCTGACTCAAGCTTACCTGCTCTTAACAAACAGTTAACAGAAATCTAAATACAACAATGTCACAATGTCTCAGAGACAACAGACCATCACAGTCCACGCAAAGAAGCAACATAAAGCAGTAGAAACAAGGGAGCAGGATAAAGACTCAGAACACATCCCTGAGGAAGAAGTTGCATGGGAACTCCCTGACAAGGAATTCAAAAGAATTATACATAGGTATCTTCAAAGGACTGAGAGACAGATCAAGAAAAACACTGACAAAATTAAGGAAAACACAGACAAAGCTCTAGAACAATTTCAGAAGAAAATGCAAGAACAAAATGACACAAGAAATGAAAAATTAGAAATTATAAAAAATCTACAGATAGAAAGCAGAAGATGAAAACTAAATTTTCAGAAATAGATAACACATTGAAAGCGCAAAGGAGTAGAATCGAATCAATGGAAGACAGAATTAATGAGATTGAAGACAAATA